AAGCAATACTCTCTAGGTCTTCAGAGCAGCAGGCATGAAAAAAGGAAGAAAAGAAATACACAGATGTACACACAGATCTATACAGCATAATGACAAATGACTGAAAATTGAAACATGGGACCTACTATAGAGATGTACGTTCAGAATAAGTTTACACCTGTACATGTAGATTTTCTCGAATATTTAATCAGTACATTAATGTCTGCTTCTGGGATGAAATTATAAAAATAATAAGAACATTGAGGTCCAATCTTGCTGGGCTGGTTTTTAATAGTTCTCGGGGGCAAGGATGGTAGACATAGGACGAATGTGGTTGTTCCCATCGCAGCGTTCATCGTACCAATGGCAGCGTTATTTTGAATCAAATTCGTTCGTGGCGCCCTATCGACAGTCAACTAATTCATTCTTTCTCGACCCCCCCATCTACCTAGGATGTTGAATTGCAGCCGCCAGCTAATCTATTGCTAGTATCCGAGCATTCGCGCTAAAAAGCGCAACCATAGCAGCAAAAGAAACGTAACGCAGGCCCGAACAGTTCCAACATGATGATGGCAGAAAAGAAGGAGAACTGCGACTGCTAGCGAAGGAGTGCCAGTTTGGCGGAAAGAAAGCAGGACAACCAATATTCTAATGCTATTTTTCTTACTGTACATATATTTGCTAAGCAGAACCGTCATAGGAATTATATGGAAACGATCATGAGGGTCGACAGCCGGACTTCGAAGTCGGCCGTGCCATCCTGGGGTGGTCGGTGCCACAAAGTTCATCATAAAAATCATCATCGACAGACGTCATAGGACGGTATCGATGAGGATATATATACGGAGATAGATGTCTCCCAAATCTCTGTGACCAGCTTAGTCTGTCGGTCTGTATACCACTACGGAAAGACAGGCGAATACACATCATGATACACAGAGATATATAGGTGCTTAGAAAAAAATACAGGCTAAAAACGGATTGCACGACGGAGAATGTGGCAGGAGCAGAGGAGATACAGCGCCTAGGACCAGAGAAACTGTTACTCTGCGATAGCTATCTACTCAAGTAATAATGATAAGACAGTTGAGTAACTAGTGATGATTGACTGCCGTTGGTTTATCGTGCACTCGGCGTCTGAACGCTATCCTTTTCTAGGTACTTCTCAGCGAGACTTTTGAATACTAATTACGCTTTCGAAAAACGAGCTCTGCAGGGAGCGAAGGAGGGGAGACGGAGGCGAATTTATGCTTGAGTTCAACTCAAACCGTACAAACATCCACAAACGCTGAACGCAACTGGTGCCTAAAACGATGTGGGGGGTTTATCTGTCTGAATTTATAAATAAAAGGACACATCCGAGTATAGATTTATGTAACAATCAAGTGAATTTGGCGAATGCTTTATAATAGCACATAATTAAGAAAAGCGTATCGGTCGAGCCCATACGATTCTAAAATTGCACAAGCGACGGGACATCTATCTGCACTTCATGGAACTTATTATGCAAAATACTAAACGTCACTTGCGACAAAGTATTCGATCTTTTTATGGAAGTTGCCTCATGTCTGAAGATTATTATTGTTAAGGCAATTCCAGCTATACTGTCAGTATCTAGGTCCCCACCAATCCCAAAATCCTCAAATTTCTCAGATCATCATTTTTCTGCAGTTTTTGTCATTATAGAAGTCCACTGAATTTTGTCGACGACTCAAGTACCAGCTAAAGAGCGACTTGGTAATTGAGAATAGGCCTATAAAAACTTGGTAATCCTGGTGGTTCTAACCATAGTTCTCCATCACAATTTTATTGTCATAAACTAAATGCGATTGTGTGTTTACATTCACAAACTAGCTTTTCAAAGGATATACTGTTGCTGAATGACCTCAGACTTTAGACAATTTCTTCTCACTGGTAAACCCGGAATTTGTTTGAAACGCGATTGGAAAAACTGAACGTTTGCAAAAGGAAACTGTACACAATTAAACACAGCCTTATCCATAAATCCCTTTTCAGAAATTCATACTCACCGGAAGGCGATGATAAGGCTTAAGACAGCTATCTTCTCGAGGCGTGAACGGGATAGGAGCGTCGAATATATAGGATCAACGAAGGATGCGAAAAATCTTCCACGTACATGTGGAAGTATATATCTGTCTTGCTGTCCCACAGCTTTGAGCTATTCATGGTCACTGTTATTATTTAACTTGATCAAGTGCAACAGCTATTTACTCAGTTATCAGTTAACAAGATGGAACATCAGTTATCGCGAGAAGCGAAGACCATGGGGTAAAAATGGTCGCCGAAATTTCTTATCGCAAGGACAGAGCTTCCACCAATAAAGAACTCGATTTATTAAAACTGAGCGAAATATCCGCGGTAAATAAAGTCAGTGAAGGAGCAGGTTCTCGCAAAGGTGTAGACTTACGCTTAGGTGACGTGTTCAGACGCTGCCGTCACGACTATTGTTATCGTTTAACATATACAATATGACGGCGCCGGCGGCCACAATTTTAACGCACAAGTAGGATTTTGAAGTATATGAAAATACGTGGACATGTGTTTGCAGCTGGCACGATGGGAAAGGGCGGCTGTGCTGAAAGCTTATAGGTTATACATACATAAATGTTGGCTATACGCATTTCACGAGGTATATCTATAACGTGAAGGTTTTGTCACCGACAAGAACTTCGACCGTGTCGTTAAGATCGTGTATTGCAATATATTAGTTGTTGCGCCTACTTTTTCATTGCAGATTTTGAATCTACACTAATTTCATAGCGCTGCTACTTAGTCTGCTGTTATATACGCGGGTACACCCAACTGCGGTGTTTGAACGGGTCATCTCAACGAGAAACTATTCCTCATCGTGCTAGTTGGAGGTAAGTTACTATTATGATTGCAAAGAAAAGGCGGAATAAATATTGAAGTTGTTCAAGATGTGATCTTTCCCATATCAGATAAGACATGAATAATTGTCCACTAGGCTTTTTTTAATTATCAGTATTGACATGTCCGCAAATCGATACCGCACACAAAAACCCTTCTTTGATAATTTCGTGCGAATGCTGCATCTACATAAGTAGGTATTTTGGCTAAGATTTTTCTCTACAAATCGCCAAAGCAGTACGATGGGAGAATTATGGACAAATTTTCAACTGTATAAGAAGAGTAGGACAAGATAAGCCCATATTTAATTCCCTTCGTTTAACTATACTATCGCTAATATCACTATCCTACTATAGAAGCAGAAATTACCTGGACATTATGATGAAATGTATCATCTGTTCTATACCGCTTTCTTTTTTACCGGTAATCAAACACCGATAGCACTTCATATTGTGCCCATAATCGCTGACTAGTGATATCGAATCTGTTGACTGTCTGAGAGTTTCTAAGAGCAACATTTTACCAATAGTGATAAATATTGTAAAGCGACAGTCAAATTGAAATAGTGCCTAAACATATTTTATACTAGCAGACCTTACAAGTCTATATTTTAGCTGACAACTAACCAGAAGGCGCAGAGAGCGCCTTAGCGTTAGGCATGGAACGTTTTCAAAGCTAAGAAGAGCGGATCGACGAAAGGCGTTAGAGATCGCAAGAGGTAGTTAGAATTTTTTCTAACGGTGCTAAACGGGGTTAATTGGCGATCAGCAGCTCAATCCAAATCCGTTCTCCGCTGAGAGGCGACACTTCGAGCCTATCGATAGCTTTGACGATTTCATCGAGATCCATATCAACGGCACCTACCAAATCACCCTTAACTAGCACATTTCTCGCTTGAACGAGAGAGGGAAAGAGAGAGGATAGAGAGGGGGAGGAAGGTTGAAGGATACATCCTCTAAAAACGTCTGCGACCTTCATTGCTTCGACGGGACAAATGGTCCGAATGTGAACAATGCCACCTAACGTAATTTTGACTACTTCCCGCAAGGCTGATCCAACGTGGACCGAAACACTTCCCTCATATCTGTGTCCTCTAAGGCTCCTACAGGATTTGTGCCTTCATTTCCTATGTCGGATATTCAATTTTCTCGCAGATAATCGCCTAGCTTGTTCATTTGTGACATTGAACTTGACGGAACGACAATGATTCACCATTTGCAAATCGTATGCGGCAAACGCCGACATTAAAACACTTCACAAAACCTGAGTATAATATATTAAAGATTTATTTTTAATTGCATATTTGATATTATGCAGAACTGTTGATATTACAGAAGCCAATTTAGAAACGTGTCTATTGGCGATCGTTGTATCAGAGAGCTGTAACCTTTAACAGCAATATCTGCTATTTCGTTATAGAGATTTTTTAACAAGCATGCGTTTTATACTTCGCATTATTTGCACCATACACGATATTCTTATTTTTGCATTATTGTTGATAGTCGTTCGCAATTCATGCAAACTGTTTGTTATATATATCTAATTAAAACTATGCATATATAATAATGAAAAACTATGAGCTTAATCAGAAAGAATGCTTTAACACCGTAAAGTCAAAATACAAGCAAATCATTGAACATGGAAATATGACTTGCGCTATTACACAACAAAGAGGGTCACAGTTACATCATGTGTTTTTACTAGTACTTTATAAAGCCACATCAACCCATGAACAATTCCCTGAGTCCCTTTCAAGCTAAGAAAAGCTGCTGACTTACACCCGTTGCACGTGATTAACGAAAAGAACTTTACTAAAAGTGTTCTTTACGTCAAGCTAAGGGGTTTTTTTTTCATTCTAAGACAACTAAATACATTTTCAGGCTTGCATCTTTTCCATCTACCGATTTACCTTTTAGCGCAACGTGTTTTTAACTTGTTATTTGTAAATACAGCACCGCGCCATTAATTCAAAAACACGGCATCCCTTCTTTCGCTCTGCTCGATGTGTTTGATGCATTTGCCCTTTCCCACTGCTGCAGCCGCCGTTGTCTGCTGCTACTGGCGCTGTCGTCTCGGCGACCTCTCAACAGCCGATAAAAATAACAATCAGCGTCACACGTGGTGCGCACGAAACTCACAAACATCGTTCATTATTTCATTAATTAATGAATGAATCAATGAAATAGAAACGAAGGAGTAGAGAAAGACGTCAACCTCGTACTTGTTTGTGTTGTGCCACTGAAACAATTTTTGTACGACCGTTTGTCTGAATTCAACAGCGATTGGCGATGGTTTTTCTATTAAATCGTCGTAAATACGTATAGTGAATTGTAAGTACAATTTCGACCTGGTTTTAAACCGGTATTAGGTCGCGGCATTAAAAGACATATGATCAACGCACAGAAAACATCTGATCTGTTTGACGCTTGTCACTTTATTAATCTTCAAAGCTCTCATCTGTCTTTTCTTTTGTTGGATGTAAAGTGAAGTGTAATGTTCTACATCATAGTTGTTTCCTTACTGTGTTATTATGATTATTGTCATTGAATGGATGCGTAACAGTACTATTCGTACGCGCGATAGTTCCTTGTTGCTATCCATCGATCTATTTCTTACAACAAATTAACGCGTATCGAAATATAAATGGTATAAAAATGTGTGTTCATTGTTACCATCTATTTTAAAGCTACTGCACGGCATAGGTATACTTATACCGTTAATATAAATATGACTAGTTAATGTTGTTTTAAGGGAAAACATATTTGATTATTCTCAGATTTAAAGCTTTTCTACTAAAGATAACTAATTGTCAACGTTTTTCGAAATATAAACGACACAGAAGTGTAGCTATATACACGCTCCACCCTTTTTAAGAATGTTGCACAATACTATATTACTAGAGAGTTATCCTTATATAAACAACTGTCAAAATGTGACACAATGTTATAATTAAGCGTAATGTAATGCGATTAGTGTGTTTCTTTTGAGTGATTATGTTTCGTAATTTAATTTTTGAAATTCGTTGCCATCAGTGTAAAGGGTCGTTCGATGTACATGACAGAACCTCATTTTGAATTCAAACAAAGGTGAACGTTTATCCAACTGTATTGAGCTTGTTCAAAAAAATATATCTCTATAGGTCAGGAAAGACATTGTCGATTTTCATGATCTCGAGAGATTCCATAGTTTATTTAGGGCCTACCCATTAATTTCCCCCTTTCCTAAAACGTGTCTGTTTGTTACCTGCTTACGCCAGTTCTACGTTGTAAAAGCAGCCGAAGTAAATGTACTCAATATAGATTTAATGGAGAAATTGCGCTCAGTTGCGATACATTGCTTCTCTTCGCGTACTGCAAGACGGAGTAAACGTTTTTGACGACTCCTTAGTGAGCTTCATACTATAGTGAATTCCATTTATAAAACATTTTAAAATATAAAACAAAAGTGTCTACCGAGGGCTCTGACAACATTGGGTATGGTACGTTTTTCAATGTGGTTGTTTATATTTGACTATGGCTGAATGAATTTTTAAACAATAAACACTTTTTAATTAATATCTACTCGTTTGATTTTGAACTTTCAGTTAGGACAATGGCAGTGATGGTGGGCAGCGATTCCGACTCGGATCAGTCCGACTATCCTGAGCAATCTACAGAAGTGGAATCGTCGGATAATGGAGAGTGTCAAAGCAAGGAGGATCTATGTCCTCCATCTAAAAAAATCAAGAGGCAACTGCATCAAAAGAGGGGGGCCAAATCTAAGGGCTTTCTGAAAGGGCTAAAAGCAGGTGAAGAGATGCGAGCATTATCAGATTTTGAGATGAATGTGGTGACCCTACAAATAAGTAATATCCTTAAGGATATTTCCATCAGTGAGAAACGACGTCAGCAGGCGATGAGCTGGTTTACCCAGCTTAAAGAAGCTTTGCTTAATGTCCAGATAAGCAAAAAACACGCAGAGAAAATGAGGATGCCTTTGCGAACAATGCCGGCTGATCCACAAATAGCTGATTTTACGTTTCGCTCACCTAAAGATGTCTCGTTGGTTGGCAGCTTCGCATACGAGACAGCGATTAAATTGAGCTCCCTTGATGTGGCTGTGGAAATGCCTAGGGACTGCTTCGTGAAGTGGGACTACCACAACGTCAAATACCACCGAAAGAGAGCACTTTATTTGACGTATCTTGCCGCTGCTTTGCAGAAAATACCATCACTGCACTCGAAATTGTACTGGCGTGTAGAGGGAGACGATCGCCTACCTATTCTAGTGGCTGTTTCACCCTCTGGCAATCTAACAGCACACATTCTACCATATCCTGAAAGTGGGCTATTTCAGTTCTCACGATTCGCGCCTGACAAGCTTAACGTGCAGGAGAAGTTTTACGGCTTGCCTCCCAACTCGCGCAAACCTGTGCTCATTTACAATGGAGGCGTTCTTCAAGATATGCTCATGGTACAGAACAGAAACGAACTGTCAGAACAACTAAGGACTTCAAGCGGAATTCGCGGAGGTATTCAGATTTTAAAGTTGTGGCTTCTCACAAGAGGACTCTGCAATGGCCCAGATGGCTTTAAGAGTTATCATCTAACAGAATATGCCGACTACCTTTTACGTTCGGGACGGTTGAATTCCCTCATGGGTGTCTACCAAGTAGTACGAGCCATTCTGGCACAAATGCAGATGGAGGATTGGACTTCGGAACGTTTGCTTGCCGGCAACACATGCTCCACGATTGCAAAGACTTCTCATAAATTCATGCTGGAGCAAGAAGTTGCCGCTATTCTCGTTGACCGTACGGGTTACCATAACATCTTTTACCGAGTTTCTTTGGATACACTTGATTTGTTACGGGCTGAGGCTCGCTCCGCACTTCAATCGCTCAACTCGAGCTCGGTCAACCTGATTAATGAGCTACTTTGGACACCCGTCTCTTTTTATCGTAAGTTGGATTGTTACATCCGCATCGAGTTCGGTCATGGCAGCAAACAACTAACCGACAGCGTGGATAGCTGGATTCGGGCAGATTTCGGGGGAAGTGTACTTTGGCCAACATCGCGGGCAATATTGGCTACCCTACGCCGAGCACTCGGTCGTAGGGTTTCACTATTAGTGGCCCGACCATTAACCCACCTAGAGTGGGAAATCGGTGGAAACTTCCCCGAAGAAGCAAGTTCTATCGCAGTAGGTTGGAACCTGGATCCCGATGAATTGCATCATATTGAAAAAGGTCCGCCCGCCGATTCTTCAGAGGCCAGCGAATTTCGCGATTTTTGGGGACATAAATGTGAGATCCGCCGTTTTCAAGACGGCTCAATTTTAGAGACAGTTGTGTGGCCTGGTGAGACTGCAGAGGACCGAAAGCGTATCACATATAATATATGTGACTATATTTTGCGGCAGAAGCACAAAATAAACAAAATATCATTTTCGGGTGAAATGTGCGATCGCATCCTACAGTTGCCAAACTGTCATTTTACCAGTCGTTACGGAACTGGAGACGAACAACTTGTTGATGTTAATACTAAGTTTAATGAGTTTGCAAAAACTTTACGAAAGCTGCCTGATCTACCGGTTGATATAAGCGCCGTTTGTGGCCTGTCTCAAGAACTTAGCTATACAGCAGTTTTCCCCCAGGTAGCAGCTGCATGCGATACTGACACGCGGCTTGTAACGCGTAGCGCAGGTCGCTGTATTCCCCGTGCAGATCATGGCGTACCTAAGCTTGTACGACCCATAGATGTGCTACTACAAGTGGAGTGCAGCAAATGGCCCGACGACCTGAATGCCTTTAGGTACATGAAGACGGCATTCTATATAACATTAGCCAGCAAGTTAGAAGGCCGTGAATGTCAAGTGTTTCATGATCACCTGCTAGTGCTTTTTCAAGGCTTATTGTTTCGGGTGCGTGTATCTTGTACGAAAGAGATCGCATTAACTAAGCAGGTAATTTCGCCTGAGGGCATGGTAAGGCATGTCGAAAACAAAATGAGCGAACGCTTAGAGTTTGAGTATATTGTCTTGCCAAAGTTAATTTCAGCTTTGCATGGCCTACATCTTCAACACACAACATTCGGGCCTGCCTGCCGTATTGCGAAGCGGTGGCTCTCTTCCCACCTGCTGTATGAAGCATTCCCTTCAGTGGTTGTGGACCTGTTAATGGCGTATATTTATATTCACCCATTACCATATTTTGTGCCTCATTCGTCTAGAGCAGCTTTTCAGCGTTTTCTGCACCTTTTGGCCAATTTTGACTGGCGTCTCAATCCGCTCGTTATCAATTTTGGTGAACAGTTTACTTCTGAGACTTATCAACAAATTCATTTACATTTCGTCCGAAATCGGCCGTCGTTGCCAGCACTATTTATACACACGCCGTTTGATAAAAAGGAAGAGTCATGGATTACGACAGAAAATCCAATCGGTCCGGCTCTACAGCGGGCGGTAGTTTTAGCTAGAAAAAGTTTGGCCTTTATTGAGGAGCAGATGGTTGAGGGCCAAAACATTCTCGGTGTTTTTAAAACATCACTTGATATTTATGATTTTGTCATCAAATTGGACGAACGTTTCATGGCTACATACTACCTTAACAACAGCTCGACTGAAAAGCTTTCATTCACTAAGATGCGGGACGAAATACCCGTGGTTGATTTTGACCCAGTTAGACTTTACCTTGACGATTTGCAAGCTGCGTATGGCCATTTATGCATATTTTTTTACGATGGATACGGAGGAACTGATATCGGTGGATTGTGGTTGCCGAAATCACAAGCTCCAGTCCCATTCAAAGTGCACAATCTTATTGGAAGAAAATTGACTGAGCCTGCTAAGGTATTAACGCCCAACTACCCGGCGATACTTAGCGATTTAAAAACTCTTGGCCAGGGTCTAGTGAAAAATGTTGTGGAGCAAAAATGTCCTAGCACCTATAGCCGCCTTCGAAAGGATAGCCATTAATTTTGTGAAATTAGTTTCGTTATGGTGTTAAGCAAATTATTTCTGACAATAGAATAATAAAGAAGCCAGATTGATTGTATCATATAGGCACTTAGTAAGCATTTGCTTGCGTATCCTAGGTCGTTCGTTTGTGTGTGCATGCGTGTGAAATGTGTTACATTAGGAATAAACGTAACTACTGTTCGGGATGTTCACTGTTTTTGTCTTACTCATTCAAACCACTCTTGTTTATTTTTCTTGTAAGTGACTGTGGAAGCATCAATGCACACGCCTCTGGCAGACGTTTAATAATGATCGGATCGAGCCTTCCGTTTACCTGTGCTGAAGACAACAATTGTAACTGCTGTAACTACAACGGTGACCGGAGGCGACACAAAATGCTAATATCAATGATTTGTAATTAATGACATATCCATGAGACAGGCCCAGATACACGGCTAAGTAAGGCCCACATAAAGCGAGAACAACATCCGAAATATTATCCATCGTTTGTTACCGTTTCTGCTACTGTGATTACTACTGCTGTTGTGTTACTGGATCTCGGGCAGTGGTCAAAAGGGTCTGCACCAATGAACGAGGTAATTGCCACGGTGCGCAAACATTGATTTTCTCCGAATGTCTAAATTCTCGGATGCGTGCCTCTCACTTTTTCTCTTTTTTGTGACCTTACAGCTTTGGTTTCTACTAGGCTAATGATAACGTTGAGTGAGTAACTTGTATCTTATTTTCATTCCTCATTTTCCTGTGGTGGATACTGCAGGAAAAAGAGCACATAGAAAACTATTAACGAATGTAAAACGGCTAGTTAAGCGGCTGCGGGCCGCCAAAGTAGATGTCATGGACTACGGTAGCCGCCTGTTGGTTACACTCTCGATACAGCTACAGAGCTTTTGCGTTTCACGGAGGTGGACCTAGGGCATTATCGTGGGGACGCTATGATTTGTACAACATATAAGGCTTAAATGTGGAATCAGGAACGGACGGATATCTGATGAAGTGTTTGTTCATCCGGATATACTCTCGTTTGAGAGGAGAGCGCAGGGCGGGTTAACTGTAGTTAGCTCCAGATGGTTGTGCCGAGAGCGAAGCCACCGTCGCCGCCGCTCCAATACTGACGCCGGCCTGGATGAAGCCTGGAATAATTGTGAGGGACCTACAGGGAGGCAGTATTACTTCAAGCTCTACCCCAGAAGCAGCATCAACCCAGATGGACTCAAATGGGAGAAGAAAGAAGTAATTAAGATGTGGCATGCGTAGGAGACGCTTGAGGGAGACTATGATGATTTACTACGATGTCTGGTCCCTCTTTCTCTATGCCTATTTCTCTGGCTGCACTCTACGTAGCCGTTACGTCTGCGACTGTCTGTCTGCTACAGTCTATATGTCGGAGCTATGTTCATACCCTGCCGGCTTACGCACAGATTACTCCCTCGTCGATTCCTGTGCGTACTGGCGGTTCATCTAAGATCTTTGCCTCCATGAGAGTATTCAATAATGTTAACAAGTGGCAGTCCTACGCTCATACCCTACTTCTCTTCTTCGGCCACCTTCTTTATTCGTATTATCATAGCTACGGCTGGCAATACTTCTAACTTTTTTTTTTTTAGCTACAAGGAGTTAGGCTTTTTCTTTCTCAATATTTCTACCCTTTGGGCGGATTCACACCGTCTTTGCTTTCCATGTCCGTAGTGAATCAGGGTGTAGGCCACCGCAGAAAATCTGTGTCCTGTGTTTGAAGCTCACCTGCAAAAGAAAAGAAGCCAACAATACGGATAAGAATAGAGTAATACGTTTAGGGATCATGGAGATAAATTGAAAAAAACATTCACCTAGTGGCTGGACGACAGACAGGAGGAATGTCATGCATTTGCGTCAGAAATATTTCAGACTGTTCAGTTCTCCATGTTGATTATGAAGTTCGTTTTGTTTCGCCTGTATAATATCAAAAGAGGAAACCCAAGAATTCGTAGCAGGTAGTCTTTATGAAACCAATAAGCTAATTCAGCATGAGAAAAGGAAACAGAATCATTTTTATTTGATTTCTATAAAGCGAGCTTCATTAAGCTACTCCTGGCTTTCCCTGGCTTCATTTGCCTATACTGGAAGAGGAATAACTACTATTCTTTATGGCCCGAATTCAGACTTCAGATGACTAAGGATGGCTTGGTTGTATTGGCAAAAATCCTTTAGCTTAATCGCAAAGTTTAGGCACTCCGGTTGTGCTTTACTTTTGTCCTTTCTTGAAACGCGTTGCTGAGAGATAATTTTGGCTCTAGCTTTGTATTTTCAGCTCTTTTTAGCTTCACATTGAACAACGAGCTTTGTAGAACTAGCGCTTCTATATGCATTTTCTGTTGTAACTGTAATACATTTAGCAAAGAGGCGCGATCGTATCTGTAGACTCGAATCAGGCATCACTATTTTGACCCACTTTATACTTCTCATACGGTTCTAAAGTAGCAGCTTGAGTGAGATACACGCCTCCGTTCCTTGGAAAATACAACATTACAAGAAGTATCATAATATAGACTTGTACGAGAAGCACGACGCAAGCAAGCCATTACTTTGGACATTCAGTGCTACGGCTGCTGCTAACTATTGGTGATGCCATTACTCGAAACGTGGCCAGGAGGTGGAAAGACATGACAGACGTAAGCATATGAAGTGCGCGAGAGTCGTCCTGATACGTTATTACATACTGTGCAACTCTCGTTGATTCAAAAGAGACTCATTTTCACAACATACATTTAACGATGCTATCCTTTCCCATCCTATGAAAAGTGTCTAGCTCGCTGCTGTGCGGTTGGCTGACTGACCGGCCCATTCCCCGTCCAGGTCAAACCTCTCTTTGGCTTGCTTCTTCAAAAAGTAGTCAGAAACCTTGAGAAATGTCAACCTCAGCTTTCTGAGCAGGTGGGCTAAAACTTCCTGTTCAAGAAGACCAGGTTGTGTGTGGCCACCTTTAAGAAGTTGGTGATAGATAAAGTAGATGCAATGAAAGGAGAAAAGGTTATCTTAAAACAAACTTGTAATTTCAGGTGCTATTTCTTCTTGCAGAACAACCTCTCTTGTTCGTTTTACTGTGTTAGGTGTTTATTTCTGGTTATTTACTGTTTCTATGACGTTTAACTTTGCGTTTAAAGACATGTCTCGAAAATTGACGATTTCCCTTATGAATCTGTCTGGTTCGTGACTATCTTAACTTTTGCTGTGCCAGAGTGGAAGCATCATTTCAAAAATGCATTGAAACCAGTCTGCTGAAGAAAACAACGTTTGCTTGTGGGTTGGAGAACGGGCAGAGCTAGTAGTCGCGTTTGTGCGTCAAATCCAAAGCCTACTTTCCTAGACGTTTGAACGCAATAATAATGATAATGATGATATCAAGTTGAAAAGATAATATAAAACAGTAGTAAGCGTAATTGTATAAAGAGAAACTAATTTTTTGAGAGAAGCACATATAAACACGTCGCGATAGTATTTTATTTCATTAAGTTTTGTATGCCGTGCCTATGGCCTGATAGGCTGACTCAGACGAAAGCAAAGCATATGTTAAAAAAGGCAAGCGCATACCATCTTTTCGGGACTGTGTGTACTTTAGCTGGTATATAGGCAGTGACAGCAGCTGCAGTTCATTGTATATCTTCTTCCAGTAGGCCACGAAAGTTAAACCCCATGGACATTAGCAGATAATCATAACCATTTAGAGTGGCACAGTTTTGCAAAATATTAATCTTACATTGTCTCATATTAAAAAGCGTTTTCCGCAACAACGTCATTGTACCTATCGAGTCACTCATTTTACTAGCTTTCTGCAGGACGACGTAGGTCCTTTCTAGACCCAGAGCACATGTGTGTAGATATATCAGAAAAAAATGCCGACTCTATATGTATGTATGTGGTATGTATTTTACTATTGACAGTTATTGAGTTACCGTGGCATGGCCCGCATCGCTATCGATTTTTTGCGCATGGGCTGGTACAATTGTCCTGGCTCAAAGTTTGAAGCTTGTTTCTCTGTTAAAACGGTTTTGGTTTTTTGGGTGTTTTGTTCCTTTGCCCTTTTCGTCTACTAGGGCCACTAACGTCTCCATCCGTGTAACCCTAGTTTCTTCAGCTAAATAGTGTTCGAGGCTATCATGTTCCGTACTGAACAGTTACTCAAGTAACACTAACTATAAAAGCTTAGCTTGCTTCTGCAACGTTAACATAAACGCCGGTAAGCATAGTAACACTGTGTGTTCAATTAACTGAAACAGATCATGCAACTCTTGGATGCTTCCTTGGTTTCAGTACTTCTCTCCAACGAGGCAACCTACATACAGGCTTCATTTCGACTCAAGAGTAGTGCATATGAATGGCAGCAGTGTAGACTTTTCTCACAAACGTTTTTCCCTTAACTTTCTCCCTTTGCCTTTTTCCCAATCATATGTTCGTTGATTTTACGGATCCTGAAGAAGACTACGTCTGCCCTGTTGATCAACAGAGGATTGCAGTGAATGTTTTGCATGAGGTCCTATCATGATTAATTATTTTTTTTTTTATTAACATAAATAAACTAGTCTATTTCTGTTTCTTTTATGCTCCATTGATATTGTTCTTTTCTTGTTGACATTGCTGGATACACAAAGGCACAACACTGTCTTTAATATTACGCACGATTACGTCCCTTGCGACGATATGGAACCTCGGTAACATTGTTATGCCTTTTATTGCTGGAATCATATTCTTTTAGACTGTGTATGTCAGAATTCAATAAATACTGCTCTTAATTGTTTACAAATTGTGAAAGTACTGAAAATAGCGATGACGCTGCTTTGAAACTGATAATCGGAAATAGCGTAGTTCTAGTAACGAAACGGTTCGCGTTTAACGATCCATCGTACAGTGTTCAAACGCATACTTCCATTCCTCGCAATTTTCACTCCCTAACCGCCGATGTCAAAATTATCTATTTTCGGCAGCGATAGACATAAATGGCAGTAGTATTACACAGCACTAGTCATAATAACAGAAGTTGATTGAAACCTGTCATCCGAATTTGCCTTGTTGGTATCCGATCGAGCGTTAGTTCCTACTTAGGCGGTAATCGGGCAAAAATAGAGCATCTTTTACTTGCTGCATGGCTATCGGTTGCCGAACGTCGATTTGGATATACCTTTATGGCGGCCGCTAATGCGCGTGAATGGCTGAAAAATGATGCGTCGTTGCCCTGCCAATATTACGTTACTCTAGACCTTTTCCGTGTCCCATATTCCGCCAGCGCAGCCTCCGCTATATTTAATCGTATATAGCTTGTTATTCTGGCAGACTGCAGTTAGCGAGACAATGAGGTTCCTGCCCGAGATAAATACGAGCAGGGGCGACGATATCTAGAGCGGGTGAGCGGGCAGCCCACCAGGCAAACACGAACACGAACGCCCGCTTTCCTTTTCCGTTCGTCCGCTTGTCTGCCAACTCGCCATTCTCAATAACAGGGAACAACGCCACAAGGCCGTAATAGTCGTTTTTCGCATGGTCTTGCACAGCTAATAAATTAGCAAATGGATGCCTTAACTAATAGATACTACATATACTCCCTAACTTGTTGGCCCCTTTATTTACATCCGTGATAAGGAAAACCCAATAATAATCCCGAAAAACTTTGAGAGAACAATTAGTTTTATGGCTTTTGAAAATGTTATTTAACTGGCAGCTGGGCTGGCCTCTTTTTGCAGATAATAATTGAAGCTATGGCATGAAACTTGACTGTGAAAAGTGTTGGCTCCGAAGATATCCGTTTTCGGGGTCTACTCTGCACCAACAAATAAAGACGTTCGTTTTGATAACTTATACTGAGTTATAAGGATAGCAAGCTATCTATATAAGGATACAAACTGAGATCAATTCAAACTCGTATCGCAGCAAAATTACCGCTGCAGAGGTGCAAGGGCATCAAGTTATCCATATTAATGAAGAAAACAGAGGAAGCTTATCATTTTGTTGTCCTCGGAAAACGCGGATATGAGTGGAGAAAAGGAAAGACACAAGTAACCAGTAGTAAATAGCTGGCCAGCTACGAAAAAGGAAGACCTTTGGTCTTCTGTGTGTGTGTGTGTGTGTACTTCTGAATGCTACTCACTTCTATCTGCCGCTTCAAGTCTTTAAGCCCTCCCGGGATCACCTCTAGTTTGCCTGTTCCTTGTGGACCTTACATCGTTCGGCCCCTAGCGCCCTACTCCTTTACTCCCCCGCGGATCCTCATCATGAGAGCTGCTCTGCTCATCTGCAGGAATCGGCCTTTTTTGTGTTCTCTCGGT